TCATTGAGATCAGCAGGAGTAACTGCTCAACACTGCGAGTAAAGGACTCACAATCTGGCCCAAAGTTACTGGATGAAAGGAAAATAATTCAGCGGAATTCACACCTTAGTTTCTTGGCTGCTGCAAAGATGGCCTTAACCTGGAGTAAAGACAACAGGAAGAGCCTACAAGCTGCAATTGACCTCTCCTATGTAACTCAACAAATCCACAGAGTAGCGTAGCATCTTTTCAAAGAATAGTGAAACATTTTGGCTTACCAGTGGTGGTGCGACTAAGGATTTTGTATCTGTTTCAGTTATCAGAAGAGAGAGGACTTGCAAATCACACACAGTAATTTCATAACATGTGAAGAGTCTGGCTTCTGGGCCTTCTTTAGACTGGCCTTAGGACCCTGTAGAAGGGTGGTCACCCAGAGCATGCTCCCTTGTGGCTGGGTGGGGAGCAGCCCTTTCCTGTCTGTCAGCAGTCGCTCAGGTCCGACAATGGGCTGCCACCAGACAGATCATGTTTGACTTCCACACCCATTTTGGAGTACTCCAGTCAAGTCCATATAAAACACCACCCAAAGTTCCTGTTGCTTCAGCCCCTTCCTGGAGTTTACTAAGACCCCTGGGTCCTCACCCAGGGTCTTCAAGGTAGACCGTTCAGAGAAATCTCAGGTAAATATTTCTAGTCCCACTCAGCTCCCAGTACGTCACCAACCCCTGCCTCAGGTTCACCACAGCAAGAACCCCTCATTTCCTGCCATCTCAGAACTTCCCTGGTCTTAGCTCCACACTGAGCCTTCTTTCAGGCCCACTGAGGAGAGAATCACCATTTCCTGTAGCCTGTGCCTTTTAACTGTCCATGTCCAGAATTGTCCCCTACTTCTACCAGCCTTCCCTGACTCCGTCAGCTTCCTGGCCACCTTCCCAGGTCCCACACCCAGCTTCCTCAGGGCTTCCTGCTGGGACTGAGCCTAATGTCTGCAGAGTTCTTTCTTGCTCTTATTTCAGAGCAAGGCCTCCTGGGGCTTTCTCCCTGGAATCGCCCCTTCTCAGGGGCTGTGGCCACAGCCTATCCCTGCCTGCAGCTCCTCTCCACAGTCCTCCAAACTCAGTCCACATCCCCCTTAGGCTTTACTGTCACTGTCTCTTGGCTTCACTGCCTCCGGCTTCAGGACAATCTGCCCCCAGCCTCAGGACTCTCCGGCTCCAGGCCACCCAGGCGTCCCTCAGCCTTGAGCTCAAGAGAGGAAGCTCCCAGTACCTTTCACTTGGGTCCCCTCCCTGACCTTTCTACTGCCCTCTGCTCTGTCCTTCAGGAAGTCCCAGCTCCTCCCCTGATGGGTTTGATCACCAATTATACCTGACACCCTTCCACGTGGAACCCAGAGGCCTAATTGGACTCAGGTTCCTCTTGGGCGCTGTAATGGGGGTGTATAAACCCCACATAAGTTTACACCTACCTGCAAAGCAGTTTGTGTATATTAGAATGGTCTGTGCCTTCTCACGGGCTTTGGAGAGCAACATTCCATAGTGATGTGACATGCTTAGAGAGGTAAAGGCAGCCTCTGTCTAGAGAAAGGCTAGTCCTTTGGTTGGCGCGAGGCTGCAGCTCAGGGCACCTACGCTCAATGCTCAGCACTATCACTGGGACATCCAGCAAGTCACTCCATGTTTTGGGGGCGGGTATTCCACTGGCATACATGGTGGAGATTTACATTAGACGAGGCCCTTTGTTTGAGTCATCCATTTAAATTGTTGCGTCTCAAAGCAGGACTCTCTCTTATCAGGGGTAGGTACTACAGTGCCTAGTACGACAGAGTCCCCATGTTAGCCAGGGCCGCGAGGCTCTACTGTAATGTTACTGATAATAATAGAATGAAACAAATGGAGACAAAAACATTAGTGGCGGTTTTCCCTTTTAGTTTTAGAGAAAAATAAATAGGGATCTTCTCCTGGATGCTGAAGACCCAGGCCCTGATCCAACAAACACTGATGCACGTGCTTAACTTTATTATTGTAACGCATCCCATTGATTTCAGTGGGATTACTCACAGTAGTAAAATTAAGCATGTACATCTTTGCAGGATAGGGCCCCAAGACTGGAAGAAAATTAACAATTGCCCAAGGGGCCACTGAGCTTCATGACAAAGTTAGTCGTGAGTTTTCTTCACCACAGTACAAATGAATCACCCCCAGCCTGTGCTTACTGTTTAGAGTGCCTGCTAGCCATACATGCCTGGTCTTTGAATTCCCGGTCTCTTTCACTTACCAATGCATCCAGGCTATAAGATAACAAGCTGATCGCTCACTTCATTTTTTTTTAATTTTTTTTTGATGGAGGGGACTTGACCTAGCACTTCCATTTGAGTCATATCTCTTGAATTGACCTTTAAAGATTTCTTAAAATCCAGCTAAAAGTATACAATCAATTCAAACAAACAGGTTATGAAAGATACTGTTGAGATACAATTACATCTTGGTTTTAAAATCTAAGGCCCCTTTATTATTAAAAGCTACTTAAAACAAAAAGGAGTGTTGCATTTGTGATTTGCTATTTATATTTGTAAATATCCTGTCTTGTGTTATTAAGGGTTTCTTAAAGAAAAAAGAAAACATATCCTTTGCCAACACAGGGTTAAAAACTAGAAAACATTTAGACACTATGATAAATATAGATAATAAAAATATAATAAAATAACACAGGAAATAGTCTTGAGAAAAGAAGACTGACGGTGGGGGGACCTGATAGTCTTCACTGTCCTCTTTATAACAGCCCTTAACATATCTGATCACTTGTTCTCTCTGAAGTAGGACAAGAAGTCACAGGCTTGCACTGCAGCACGGGAGATTTAGGTTAGATATGAGGAAATACTTTCTATCAGGGTAGTTAAACTCTGGAACAGGCTTCCAAGGAAGGCTGTGGAATCTCCATCATTGGAGGTTTTTTAGAACAGGTTGGACAAACACCTGTGAGGGATGGTCTAGGTTTACTTGGTCCTGCCCCAGCACAGCAGGCTGGACTTGATTTCTCAAGGCTCCCTTCCAGCCCTACATTTCTATGATTCTATGAAATTCCAGTTTGTGGCTTACTCATGACTGTTACAAATGAGACATGTCTAGTAATGAATTATAGCCAAAGAATGACTTGATCAAGTGCTCTCTCTACCTGACCCTAGATCAGGTCTTGCTAGCACTCACTGTCATAGTCACAAGTAAATCCCAGAACAGAGTTTCTTATCAATTCTAAGTAGATTTTAGTTATTCCTTGGTCTTAGTGTATGTATCCATTTACTTTCCTACTATTCTTAAGTATCCAGAACCATAGTACCTGAGTGCCAGGTGACAATATTTAACACTTATATGGTACATTACAGTTTTTGGAAAATGTAAAAACCATTAACTAATCTTCAGTTCTCTTATATAGTTACATAAGTAGAATTCTCAATGGGCAAAAAGCTTTAGTGATTTGCCTAAGACCACAGAGGCAATCATTGCAGAGCAAGGATAAGAGCTCAGGTTTGAGAGCTCAGGAATTCCTGGCTCTAAGATCTGTGGTCAGTCTAGTGATTTAACTGGGATGATTTAACTGGGAATTGGTCCTGCTTTGAGCAGGGGGTTGGACTAGATAACCTTCTGGGGTCCCTTCCAACCCTGATATTCTATGATTCTATGATTCTAATAGACCACACTGCAAAATTTCCCACTGTTAACCTTTTGGTATTATTGATAGCCACCCATTCCAAATTAGAACCTGAAAAAAGCACTGTACATTTTGACTGTCTTTTTGAGTAACATTGAAGGATTGCTGTTTAAATTCAAAAAGAAAAGGAGTACTTGTGGCACCTTAGAGACTAACCAATTTATTTGAGCATGAGCTTTCGTGAGCTACAGCTCACTTCATCTGATGAAGTGAGCTGTAGCTCAGGAAAGCTCATGCTCAAATAAATTGGTTAGTCTCTAAGGTGCCACAAGTACTCCTTTTCTTTTTGCAAATACAGACTAACACGGCTGTTCCTCTGAAACCTGTTTAAATTCAGTGTTTTAAGTATCTTATTCCTCATTCTCCTGTTTCCTTAAGTCCCACTTTTGCGCCTGAATTTATCTCCGTCCAAGGGCATGGAATTGTTCTTTGCATTTACCAATACAATATTATAAAATTAAGTGACATCAAGGATTGTTTAAAAACCTGCAGTTATATCAACACGAATAATGAGGAAACACAGATCTTGGCTGAAAGCATGGAAACAGCCGCCTATGAAATTAAACGCCGGCCCTGTCGCTTATAAACGAGCGCCCTCTACTGTGTTACTGACGGTACCAGCAATAAATGCCATGAATTCACAAACTTTTAGCTAAAACGAATCCAGGCTATTTCATGGATTCTACTTTTCACGCAAAAAAAGGGGAAAATATGTAAAAGATTTCAAGCCGGCCACGGTCCCATGGCCAAGTCCAACCGCAGTACTGTCTGCCGTCCATAGATTAAGAAACTGCAGGGGAAAGTGAATTGAGATGCTAAACTTCCTGTATTTTAGAGTAAAAAGAGCTCTCTCCTTCCGATTGGCTAGTTTCTCCAACACCGGGTTTTAAGAGCAAGACAAGCCCACAAAGCACCCGAGATGTATTGGATCGCCACTCGAGACAGCAATTTATTCCGCTTAGACGCATCCCCAGTGTTTGCCCTGGCAAAGTGGCTATCGCGGTCTGAGTGGAACCGGAGAAAAAATATCAAGTTTTTGGCTGAGATCTTCCAAGCCGCCCGCGTCTCGTTAATTTGAGAGGCAATTAAGAGACTTGGAAATCTCAGCCTCAATTGCTCAAGAAACACCTCTCGGTGGGGAACCCAATATCCCCCCCCCCGCGGGTGCTTTCCTTGGCTTTCCAGGCAGGGCTCAGCACGGAAGTTCACAGCCACGACCTTGCGCCAGGGCTGGCGCTCGGGGCGCTCGGGGGCCCCTGGGCAAGCGAAGAGCCGAAGCGGCCAGCTGGGCGAAGTTGGGCAGAAGTTCTTACCTGTGCCATGGCCAGCAGGCAGCCGCTCACGGCCAGCCAGCCGAACGCGGGGCGCACCCCCTGGGCGGCCATGCCCGGCGCCTCCCGTGCCAGAGGGTCTCTGCTCCGGGCTGGCTCCGGCCGGGGCGCAGCAACGCCGCGGAGCCGGGGGCGGATGCGCTTTCCCGGGCCGCTGCGAAGTCTGCACGGAACTTTATAGCTCGTCTCCGGTGCGGGCTCGGGGGTGGGTCCCAGATCTGGCTTCCCCCGGGAGCCGGGCCGCGCCCGCTTCGCTTCAGTGGCACATGGCTTCGCTCCAGGCACAGAGCGCTCCGGATTGCCCGCGCGGCGTGTCTACACATGAGCCCCGGGGCGGGGACGCCTCCGAGCAGGTCCTGCCCTGAGTGAGTTCAGTCGAGGCTTGGTTTGCACGGCTGGGGAGGTGCCTGTGGCGGGGGCCGGGGGAGGTGCCTGTGGCGGGGGGGCGGGCAGGTGGAGACAGCCGTAGCCGCTTGCTCAGAGAGGTGGCAAGTCCTTGCAGACAGCTGGGTTCCTGCCCCCGGACAAGGGCTGCGTGGAGCGCCCAGCCACCCATGCCCAGGGTGTGCAAGGGGCCAAGCCACCAGCAGCACCTCTTGGGATCGCAAATGCCCCCGCCCCTTCCCCCACTGGGTGCTCAGCACCGTGCCCGATTTTAGGCCACTGACCGATTACCTTCCATTTGGATCCCCAAACCATTTCGTTTTTCTCGAAATTCCTTTTTCACGTAGCCAAGCCAAACATTTACCGCAAGGTTCCTGGCTGAGAATGCTAGCATTTCCACCGCCTACCCTGTGTGAGCAGACTGTTCACAGGACAAGCAAGACACTGAATGTGCCCCTGCTATGTCTTATTTCGCCAGCTCCCTGAGAAGAACTAAACATGGACCTTATTTCCAGCACAAACCAGCAAGGCACTCAGCACCGTCCACACCCATTAAACAAGGATCTAGTAGAAATGTTAAAAACCGCCAAAGAAATCTCACTATTTAAAAAGGCGTTTTTCTTCGCCACATTTCCCACAGTAATATCCTGAACTGCTGTTTCCAAAATCTGGTTTTTCAGAATTAGCCAGGATGCATCACCCGTGCCCTCTCATCACCAGTGAAATGTGGTTCCCGGATACCAATAGGATCAGTGAATTGTGGGAAACTGAGGCAGCTGCTCCTGAAAGACAGAATCAGCTGCCACAAACTAGAAGCAGGTTTCAGAGTAGCAGCCGTGTTGGACTGTATCCGCAAAAAGAAAAGGAGGACTTTTGGCATCTTAGAGACTAACCAATTTATTTGCGCATAGGCTTTCCTGAGCTACAGCTCACTTCATCGGATGCAGAGAGCGATAGATACAAAGCACAATGTAAACCCAAAGAGTCAGTGCAGCCAGCATGAGAAAGGAGCGATTGAGGCAGAAAGATGTTTTCCATTCCAGTGGCTGAAATACAAAGAATTAATCAAATTCTCAGGAATCACACAAGACTTCTTATCAGAATGTGACAAGGAAAATTTTCCTGATCCTGCCAGAGAGCGTGACAATACATTGCAACTTGTCTATCCAATTAGGAATGGACAGTAGTGACAGATATAGAGATAGCCCTTCAAACACAGTGTATAGCCTCATCTTACCTGCCCCAGAGAGATACCTGAGGGGGGATCTGTCTTTTTCTTACACTTTGGCGACCCTTGTATCGTTTCTCAAGCCAATAAAGTCTTACTGAAAGTCTCATTTTTATCATTATTAAAAAATGGCCAGATCCCAATCTGAAATAAATGGTTACAGCCCCCAGAATTTCACATGGAGCTGTGAAGAATTACACTATCTGAGGATCTAAAACGTACAACACTGAACATCAGTTGAAATGTGTGATTGTTACTGTTACATGGACTTTTGAGCCTAGGACTGCTTACAATATAATGGTCCTGCAAGGTCTGTACAGCCTTATCAGACTCTATATGAGGCCCCAACCACCACTAGAGGAGGACAGAGTAAACACACTGCGGGTTGCACAAACTCTAATACATCTCAGTTACTTTGTGAACATAGGTTTCAGAGTAACAGCCGTGTTAGTCTGTATTCGCAAAAAGAAAAGGAGTACTTGTGGCACCTTAGAGACTAACCAATTTATTTGAGCATAAGCTTTCGTGAGCTACAGCTCACTTCATCGGATGCATACTGTGGAAAGTGTAGAAGATCTTTTTATACACACAAAACATGAAAAAATACCTCCTCCCACCCCACTCTCCTGCTGGTAATAGCTTATCTAAAGTGATCACTCTCCTTACAATGTGTATGATAATCAAGTTGGGCCATTTCCAGCACAAATTCAGGTTTTCTCACCCTCCGCCCCTCCACACACAAACTCACTCTCCTGCTGGTAATAGCCCATCCAAAGTGACCACTCTCCTTACAATGTGTATGATAATCAAGGTGGGCCATTTCCAGCACAAATCCAGGTTTTCTCACCCTCCCACCCCCATACACACACAAACTCCAGAGTGAGTTTGTGTGTGTATGGGGGTGGGAGGGTGAGAAAACCTGGATTTGTGCTGGAAATGGCCCAACTTGATTATCATACACATTGTAAGGAGAGTGATCACTTTAGATAAGCTATTACCAGCAGGAGAGTGGGGTGGGAGGAGGTATTGTTTCATGGTCTCTGTGTATATAATGTCTTCTGCAGTTTCCACAGTATGCATCTGATGAAGTGAGCTGTAGCTCACGACAGCTTATGCTCAAATAAATTGGTTAGTCTCTAAGGTGCCACAAGTACTCCTTTTCTTTTTGTGAACATAGATTCACTTGCATGTGTGTTTCCAGGACCAAGCCCTACATTAAGACAAGAGCAAGGGAAAGATAATGTAGTGGAAGAGGGATGATGAGAGAGAAGACATGGGACTATGTGATCACTTTGGAGGCCAAAGCCTGTATCTTGAGACCTGGCCAAACTAGACCATCCCTTTTGGGGGGTAACCGTCATTTGAATAACACAAACATTCAAAGGTCAAACTTCCCCTCCTTGAGAAAGGTGGTAGCGATGAAACAGAAGGAACAACTAATTGGCTGAATGGGGCCCTGTTCTCTGGACCTGTTGGGAACTGGACTGAGTGGGTTTGGAGACTACTACACTCCTTAAATGATGCTTAGTGATATGAGTATATGTTAAAGACTTATAGGACCGGTGCTCTTTTAAAAATCATATGCAGAAAGAGAAGGAGGGTGACATGTTGTGTTAGTTGTCTGACGAACTGAAGCATTTGGTGTATATATATATTTCCACTATAATTCAGAAGCTACCACTCAATGTCTTTTTGAAGGGATGGAACAGCCCACCCATACACAGTGAGATCCCTGGGATCTGGGCAATGGGGTAGGCCACACTAGGGACTCATTTCAGGTCAGAGCCAGGATCTCCTTAATCATGTGAAAAACACAAACAAAGAGGCCCTCCTCAGCTGGTGTTTATCAACATACTTCCATTGAGGTCAATGGTATGATGTCAGTTTATACCTTTTGAGGTTCTGGCCCCTTTTTATGTATCTGGTCAAATATTAATCTTCATTTATACTAACAGGTTTGCCCTGAATTGTACATCAGGTAGAATGCCCACACCATATTATATATATATATAAACTTTTAAAATGCTGATTTAAAAATATATAAATTTAAATCAGCATTTTAAAAGTTTATTTTGGAAAAAAAACAACTCATTATTCATAAAGAAAAAACAGTCTGCACTGGTACATTAAGTCAGAATAATCAGAGGGTTTATAAACTCAAAGTGGCATGTCACACTCAATATATCAGCATGTCATACCTCACAAAGTCAATCCTTTTTGTAGTTGTATATAGTTAATATTAATAGCCACTATATGGTGGGTAGTCTGCAAAAAAAAAAAAAAAAAGCCGTGTGCATAAAATTAACCAAATCTACTTTATACTTATGCACCACACTTCTAGTGTTGGAATTTCATATTCAGTTGAAATCAGGCTGGCCATTCACTTTTAGCTATAGAACAAAACCAACAATTAGCCCTCCAACAGTATTATAAAACATTTCACAGCACTGAATGCTTCCTGGCTGGTTACAATGAAAGCGCAAAATGATTTGCCAAACATGTTTTTATCTCCAAACATCGGCGTATTCACCCAGTGCGCAGAAAAAAGGTATTTATAATGATCGGCCTAACTGCCTACAGAGGAGAGTCAGACGTCGAGACACCAGCAAAGATCGGCTTGAAAAGCTCTCCCTATCTTTGCAAAGAAAACAAAAAAGAAGGGAAGAAGTTGTGCTGCAATGGACCGTGTCCGAATTAGACTCTTCCTGTGCAATGCAAAATGGCCTGTCTCACTGAATGTGTTGCTGGATCCCAATGGGCTCTGTGGCAGCAAAGTGCTCCCGGTCAATAGCTCTTTGTTGTGCTGCTTCGGCATGTACCCATTTGGAGGAGGGATGTTTTGCAAGGTCATATTTACAGTAGTTGCTGGGACCAGTTCAGATTCTCTCACCAGCCCACCGGCCCTTGTGTATGTTGTCAGCAGCCATTTACAGGCTAAGTAATGCAAAATGGGTGACACTTATGAGTCATCAGAATTAAACTTGTCTGAATCAACCCTTCTAAAGGACCCAGGGATGCACAGCAAGCTACTGAGCACCTTCTCTTGAGCTGAAGACACTGGGACCTGAACATGATCAGCCCCTCACAGGGTTGGCTCTCAAACCTCAGGAGAAGATGACTGCTTGGAAGACGATTCACGTCCAAGACACTGTTTGGAAAACGATCCAAGTCAAAGAACGAGAGACGAGGAGGAATTAAAGAGAAAACACTGACGTTCATTAAAAACCTGCTGGTGCCGCTTTTCCAGTAACAGTCAGTTGTTTAGGCTGTTGTTTAGGCTGGTGCCGCTTTTCCAGTAACAGTCAGTTGTTTAGGCTGTTGTTTAGGCTGGTGCCGCTTTTCCAGGAACAGTCAGTTGTTTAGGCTGTTGTTTAGGCTGGTGCCGCTTTTCCAGGAACAGTCGGTTGTTTAGGCTGTTGTTTAGTCTGGCAAATCTGTCAGTTTCAACAGTGCCTCCTGACTTCCTCTGCTGTTGCTCAATTCTAATGTTGCGCTTTCTCAGACTATGTGACTTGTGCCGCATAAGACGTAGAAGCACACATATGAGACAAAGGCACAAGCTGGCAGTAATATACGCCACTAAACTGGCTAGTGCATATATGTACTACTTCCCTCTGCTGGAAGGAATCAATGAATGCATGGGCCATATGTCTCGGCTTAAAGACTAAAGTAGCTCTAATTGTTCTGTGGCAAGAGGATCTGAATTTTCCCTACTGTTGCAGTGAAATTCCCAGTGCCATTGTATGAAGCTGAGTGACAGCCATGACAGG